TGGTTATTAAATGAATCATACGAAGGATCTGTTATTTGATTTTGGAATTGGGGCGAATAATCGAACGATTTGGAGTTGCGAATTTGATTTTGAAAAGCCAATCAGTTGGGTTCGCATATGAAAACAGATAAGTTTTGATTTTGGATTCGCAATTGGGTTAATTGGGTTATTGATTGAGGGACGATTCGTGAAGAAAAATGCGAAGTCAAGAAGGACTGTGAAATGTGATTTGTTCAATATTGGAGTCAAATGCAGTTCACGTGTAAAAGCAAAAATGTTCGCATTTGGTAATACAAATCAAAATTGGGTTTCGCATATGAGGTTGTATGGATTGGGGTTAAAGATGCGAAGGTGATTATGGTTAATATTCATTTCGTATTTGGTGAGACAAACAACTCAAATGCGAATGAACTAAAAAAAAAATGACTGGAACATGCGAAGAAAGAGGGTGAATGAAGAATGTGAATTTTACAGTAGAATGCGAATTGGGGAAGAAAGCTAAGAATTTCGCATTTTTATTATACAAATTGATTGATTGATTGATTTGTCTTAATTGTTAATTGCGATATATGAAATACTTATCAAGTTAGGGGCAATATGGTATTTTGAAGTAAAAGAAGCCTTGGTTATTAAATGAATCATACGAAGGATCTGTTATTTGATTTTGGAATTGGGGCGAATAATCGAACGATTTGGAGTTGCGAATTTGATTTTGAAAAGCCAATCAGTTGGGTTCGCATATGAAAACAGATAAGTTTTGATTTTGGATTAGCAATTGGGTTAATTGGGTTATTGATTGAGGGACGATTCGTGAAGAAAAATGCGAAGTCAAGAAGGACTGTGAAATGTGATTTGTTCAATATTGGAGTCAAATGCAGTTCACGTGTAAAAGCAAAAATGTTCGCATTTGGTAATACAAATCAAAATTGGGTTTCGCATATGAGGTTGTATGGATTGGGGTTAAAGATGCGAAGGTGATTATGGTTAATATTATTTCGTATTTGGTGAGACAAACAACTCAAATGCGAATGAACTAAAAAAAAATGACTGGAACATGCGAAGAAAGAGGGTGAATGAAGAATGTGAATTTTACAGTAGAATGCGAATTGGGGAAAAAGCTAAGAATTTCGCATTTTTATTATACAAATTGATTGATTGATTGATTTGTCTTAATTGTTAATTGCGATATATGAAATACTTATCAAGTTAGGGGCAATATGGTCATTTTGAAGTAAAAGAAGCCTTGGTTATTAAATGAATCATACGAAGGATCTGTTATTTGATTTTGGAATTGGGGCGAATAATCGAACGATTTGGAGTTGCGAATTTGATTTTGAAAAGCCAATCAGTTGGGTTCGCATATGAAAACAGATAAGTTTTGATTTTGGATAGCAATTGGGTTAATTGGGTTATTGATTGAGGGACGATTCGTGAAGAAAAATGCGAAGTCAAGAAGGACTGTGAAATGTGATTTGTTCAATATTGGAGTCAAATGCAGTTCACGTGTAAAAGCAAAAATGTTCGCATTTGGTAATACAAATCAAAATTGGGTTTCGCATATGAGGTTGTATGGATTGGGGTTAAAGATGCGAAGGTGATTATGGTTAATATTCATTTCGTATTTGGTGAGACAAACAACTCAAATGCGAATGAACTAAAAAAAAATGACTGGAACATGCGAAGAAAGAGGGTGAATGAAGAATGTGAATTTTACAGTAGAATGCGAATTGGGGAAGAAAGCTAAGAATTTCGCATTTTTATTATACAAATTGATTGATTGATTGATTTGTCTTAATTGTTAATTGCGATATATGAAATACTTATCAAGTTAGGGGCAATATGGTCATTTTGAAGTAAAAGAAGCCTTGGTTATTAAATGAATCATACGAAGGATCTGTTATTTGATTTTGGAATTGGGGCGAATAATCGAACGATTTGGAGTTGCGAATTTGATTTTGAAAAGCCAATCAGTTGGGTTCGCATATGAAAACAGATAAGTTTTGATTTTGGATTAGCAATTGGGTTAATTGGGTTATTGATTGAGGGACGATTCGTGAAGAAAAATGCGAAGTCAAGAAGGACTGTGAAATGTGATTTGTTCAATATTGGAGTCAAATGCAGTTCACGTGTAAAAGCAAAAATGTTCGCATTTGGTAATACAAATCAAAATTGGGTTTCGCATATGAGGTTGTATGGATTGGGGTTAAAGATGCGAAGGTGATTATGGTTAATATTCATTTCGTATTTGGTGAGACAAACAACTCAAATGCGAATGAACTAAAAAAAAAATGACTGGAACATGCGAAGAAAGAGGGTGAATGAAGAATGTGAATTTTACAGTAGAATGCGAATTGGGGAAGAAAGCTAAGAATTTCGCATTTTTATTATACAAATTGATTGATTGATTGATTTGTCTTAATTGTTAATTGCGATATATGAAATACTTATCAAGTTAGGGGCAATATGGTCATTTTGAAGTAAAAGAAGCCTTGGTTATTAAATGAATCATACGAAGGATCTGTTATTTGATTTTGGAATTGGGGCGAATAATCGAACGATTTGGAGTTGCGAATTTGATTTTGAAAAGCCAATCAGTTGGGTTCGCATATGAAAACAGATAAGTTTTGATTTTGGATTAGCAATTGGGTTAATTGGGTTATTGATTGAGGGACGATTCGTGAAAAAAATGCGAAGTCAAGAAGGACTGTGAAATGTGATTTGTTCAATATTGGAGTCAAATGCAGTTCACGTGTAAAAGCAAAAATGTTCGCATTTGGTAATACAAATCAAAATTGGGTTTCGCATATGAGGTTGTATGGATTGGGGTTAAAGATGCGAAGGTGATTATGGTTAATATTCATTTCGTATTTGGTGAGACAAACAACTCAAATGCGAATGAACTAAAAAAAAAATGACTGGAACATGCGAAGAAAGAGGGTGAATGAAGAATGTGAATTTTACAGTAGAATGCGAATTGGGGAAGAAAGCTAAGAATTTCGCATTTTTATTATACAAATTGATTGATTGATTGATTTGTCTTAATTGTTAATTGCGATATATGAAATACTTATCAAGTTAGGGGCAATATGGTCATTTTGAAGTAAAAGAAGCCTTGGTTATTAAATGAATCATACGAAGGATCTGTTATTTGATTTTGGAATTGGGGCGAATAATCGAACGATTTGGAGTTGCGAATTTGATTTTGAAAAGCCAATCAGTTGGGTTCGCATATGAAAACAGATAAGTTTTGATTTTGGATTCGCAATTGGGTTAATTGGGTTATTGATTGAGGGACGATTCGTGAAGAAAAATGCGAAGTCAAGAAGGACTGTGAAATGTGATTTGTTCAATATTGGAGTCAAATGCAGTTCACGTGTAAAAGCAAAAATGTTCGCATTTGGTAATACAAATCAAAATTGGGTTTCGCATATGAGGTTGTATGGATTGGGGTTAAAGATGCGAAGGTGATTATGGTTAATATTCATTTCGTATTTGGTGAGACAAACAACTCAAATGCGAATGAACTAAAAAAAAAATGACTGGAACATGCGAAGAAAGAGGGTGAATGAAGAATGTGAATTTTACAGTAGAATGCGAATTGGGGAAGAAAGCTAAGAATTTCGCATTTTTATTATACAAATTGATTGATTGATTGATTTGTCTTAATTGTTAATTGCGATATATGAAATACTTATCAAGTTAGGGGCAATATGGTCATTTTGAAGTAAAAGAAGCCTTGGTTATTAAATGAATCATACGAAGGATGTGTTATTTGATTTTGGAATTGGGGCGAATAATCGAACGATTTGGAGTTGCGAATTTGATTTTGAAAAGCCAATCAGTTGGGTTCGCATATGAAAACAGATAAGTTTTGATTTTGGATTCGCAATTGGGTTAATTGGGTTATTGATTGAGGGACGATTCGTGAAGAAAAATGCGAAGTCAAGAAGGACTGTGAAATGTGATTTGTTCAATATTGGAGTCAAATGCAGTTCACGTGTAAAAGCAAAAATGTTCGCATTTGGTAATACAAATCAAAATTGGGTTTCGCATATGAGGTTGTATGGATTGGGGTTAAAGATGCGAAGGTGATTATGGTTAATATTCATTTCGTATTTGGTGAGACAAACAACTCAAATGCGAATGAACTAAAAAAAAATGACTGGAACATGCGAAGAAAGAGGGTGAATGAAGAATGTGAATTTTACAGTAGAATGCGAATTGGGGAAGAAAGCTAAGAATTTCGCATTTTTATTATACAAATTGATTGATTGATTGATTTGTCTTAATTGTTAATTGCGATATATGAAATACTTATCAAGTTAGGGGCAATATGGTCATTTTGAAGTAAAAGAAGCCTTGGTTATTAAATGAATCATACGAAGGATCTGTTATTTGATTTTGGAATTGGGGCGAATAATCGAACGATTTGGAGTTGCGAATTTGATTTTGAAAAGCCAATCAGTTGGGTTCGCATATGAAAACAGATAAGTTTTGATTTTGGATTAGCAATTGGGTTAATTGGGTTATTGATTGAGGGACGATTCGTGAAGAAAAATGCGAAGTCAAGAAGGACTGTGAAATGTGATTTGTTCAATATTGGAGTCAAATGCAGTTCACGTGTAAAAGCAAAAATGTTCGCATTTGGTAATACAAATCAAAATTGGGTTTCGCATATGAGGTTGTATGGATTGGGGTTAAAGATGCGAAGGTGATTATGTTAATATTCATTTCGTATTTGGTGAGACAAACAACTCAAATGCGAATGAACTAAAAAAAAATGACTGGAACATGCGAAGAAAGAGGGTGAAT